TCCTTCAAAGGGAATAAGTATACCGTGAAATACAATCGGTAAATTGCTTATGATATGCTTGAATTTTCTTTTTATTTTCAGTTTCTGATGACAAATTTATAAAATTTTCCATTATTTTGCAAGAGACTCTCTCTATAATTCTAAGGATAGCAATCTTTGAAAACATAATGAGCTGCATCTTCCTAACATAAATAAAATTTTCTACAGAAATCACCTCTGAAATGTAAATCAAATACTGTAGCAAATTATCAAACACATAAAAAACAGTCATATCTGAAATTATAAATGCACCGAATCATCATTGCATGATTATTTAAAAAAAGAAAAAGAGTTCTAAGAAAGCGAGAGAGGTGGTTGTGAAGCCTGCAGCTTACCTTCTGCAGAGCAAGAAGAGAACCTAAAGCAAAAACGATTTAGAAGAAACAGACGCAGAGAAAGAGATAAGGGAATCTTCAGAATTGCTTCTGTGGTAGAGAGGAAGGCCGACCTTCCTATCAACATAGACGTGGGAATCATTCCCATCTCCATCAGTCAACATAGATTTTCTTTTGTTTCTCCTTTGCATAATAACTAAATAAATAAATAAATTCTAACCTCTTATCTCTCCTGTGTTCAGTTTCTCTGTCTTCTTCACCTTCTGTTATCCATAATCATTTTTTTTCTAGTTCTAAATTAGTTTAAATGGAGATGAGAAAGAAATGTCTTGCTTTTCTTCTCTTCTTGATCAATCGAAAGTAAACGGTAGGATGGGTTGACGGCGACGCGGGAAGAATCAAATCATATAAGCACAATTTCATAAAGCAATTAATAGACAGATTTGTCAATATGAGAGAAAAATCTGCATAAAATAGTGTCTTACGGCCTATCTTATAACTGGCATTTGAATAAGACGTCAATATGATGTGTGTTCCACGTTTGTGGTTAATGAGATTTAGTATTCGGTTCATACTTTGGTATTATAATAATCAGGCTAATTGTGTATTATATTAGGAGACAGTGACATCATTGATTAAAGTTGTCTTCAATATGGTCAGGTTATTTCCAAGAAAATCATGGGAATAATACTTTATGCTATAGAAATAGGGAAAGAGTTCAAAATAGTTTACCAGACTATTTTTATATGCTCAATGTTATCTAAGAGTATCATATTTCTTACATTTAACCGCCCGATTATATAACATTAATTGATCTCAAATGATCCCTCAAAGGTTAAATTGGGATCAATTTTGCATAGTTTAATGATTACTGGAAAATGTAAATTGGTTATATATGAATAGTTGAGGGACTATTTTGAGCTTTTAAATTTTTTATATCTGATATGTCATAAAAAATTCCATATATTAGGCTTGAATCTTAATACATATTTGAAGTATAAACTTCAAAATTAAATTTATGACCATCCAAACTCCGATTTTAGCAAACTTAAAATTCAATTGAGTGTATGATAAGATGAACTCAATTCTACTAAAAGTGGTCAAACTCAAGTTCGAATAAATTCAAATGAAGTACTTGAAACATAATTAAATATTTTTTTAGATTAATCAGATAATTAAATGATTTCTAAATCTTTCAAGAGAATTTAAAAAAAAAGCAGCGGGCTTTTAATTTAATTAAACAGGTTTAAGAGATAATATATATAAAAAGGAGAAAATACATAAAATAAAATCCCGCATTAAGAAATACGTAAGATTATTTTTTGATTTCTTAAAATGCGGTTCACATTCAATATAACGCGGAAAAAAGTTTTCATCATTCAATAGAATGTTTAAAATAGTTTTTCACATTCTATTGAATGGGGGAAAATTGTTTTCCGTATTTTTTTTTTTGCTTCAACATTTTATGTTAATTTTTCTTAAATTTATAATATTTTATCAACATTTTTCTCAATAAAATAGGATTTATTTATATCTTAAAACAAACACAAGTGGAATCATTTCAGGAGGATCATATCTCATGATTATTCTCTTTCAAGTTTCCATATAAAAACTCTTGTTTCTCTTATAATTCTTGCACTCCTTTCATGTCTATGTGTGTTGATGGATCTTCATATAAATATTAAAACAACAATTTCTTAATCTCTCTATCACCACAAATATTCTGACACACAGTAATACCAATGCTTCAAATTAAGTTTTTGATATTATCAGAAGTATTATATATAGATTTGAATGTAATTTTATTTTATTGTACCAAACCTGTGGGATTAAACGAAAGCTAATTATTGAAAATGGAGAGCTTTCATTCTTATTCATGAAAAAGTTTAAAATAAAAAATATATTTAAGAGATTTGTGATTTTTAAAGTTCAACTGTATGTTTAGAGGAAATGTGCAGGTTGCAAAATAGAGAAGAATACATTAATAGATTTTGGAATTTTCCTAAATTTTCATTAACTGTATATGTTTGAAGGTGAAAAACTTCTCGAGGAGAGACATGGCTGTAGAGTTTCCTACATTACCCATAAAGGAGAGTGGCTTCTCTGCCTTACTGGGAGTAGGAATGTGATATTAAAATTCCTAAGTAAAGGCTCAGAAGTGGACAAAATTCAAGTGATCGAACTACTATAAATCCAATTTAAATTTTTCTCAGTTTAGTTTTATTTTATTTCAATTTATTTCTTGCAATCTATTGGTTATATGCATTGTTGTGAAAAATTATTGAAGATCTTGTTTGAAATAAGAAAAAACTACAATAATTACATTTTTTATTTTGTTATTTTAATAAATAAAAAGTAAAATAATTTTTTTCCTTGCTTCATTAGTTTAATCTTATAATATTTTTTGCTATTATTCCTAATTTAGTTTGTTTAAAAATTATAGAAAGGAAAATTTTATATTCATGTTGTTCTAAGTGCTTCTACATAATTTTTTATTTTTAAACCCCTCCCCCCTCCCCTCCCCGTGCGCCTTTCAGGTCTGTCATACAGTTTAGATTCATATCAAACAACTTTCGATTAATATTCATATAGAAAATGGCATGAAAGTTGAATTTCATTTTAATGAATGGAGTTTCGATATTTGATAGTTGGCATAATTAAATGCTAAATGTTTAATTTTTTTTTTTTTGTATTAAAGTCTGAAAATTATATACATGTCTCTACATGTACAAGTGACAAAAAAAAGAGGATAGGTTATGTATTACTTATGAAGGTACTAATCGGGTTAAGAAAGCATATTTAAATATTTTACTTCCTCACTATGAAATTTTTTTTTTATGCAACCTAATAAGTTGATATCTGATATATATATTCATTTCATAAAAAATTATTACCTCTTTAAGATAGGAAATTAGTAATGTAAAAAAGATAAAGAAAATTTTGAGATATTTACCTGCATCTTGGGATGCAAATGTGACGAAAATTTATGAATCTAAAGATTTAACTGCTTATTCTATTAATTATTTACTTGGCTCTTTGATATCTTATAAACAAAAGATTAGCTACAGATTGGTAAATGTAGGTTTAAAGAGAAAGAAAACTACTACAGTGTTGAAAGCTGACAATTCTAACAATAATAGTACTAAAGGAAGGGGAAATGATGACATAGCTTTAATAACCAATCAGCTCAAAAGTTTTATAAGGAAAATAGCATAGGAGGTACAAAGACAAGCTGAGGAATAAAAGTAAAAGGTATAATTAAGTTTCCATTAAACTAATATATTTTGAAAATAGAAAACTAGATCACATAAAGTTGGAGTGCCCAATTTGAGGAGTCAATCATCAAAGGAGAAAGTTTAATACAAAGGTGAACATAAGATGAACAAAAGAAAATATTAAAAAGCTTTCTAGGCAAACTCGATCTCTAATTCAACAAAGAAAGAAGTTGAAGAAGAAATCACCAAATTATGCTTAATGGAGAAA